TTTTTTTTTTTTTAATGTGGTGCTGAGAATTGAACCTAGGTCCAGCCCGTGCTAGGCAAGCGCTCTACCGCTGAGCCACAATCCCAGCCCTTCCCTAATATTTTTTAAAACCAATATCACTGAGATATGATTTCCATACCATAAAATTCATCCATTCGAAGTGCACTAGTCAGTGACTTTTAGAATAGTCAGAGTTATACACTCATTACCACCATCAATTTTAGGACATTTCCACACCCCCTCAAAGAAACCCATGCCCTGAGCCAACATCCTTCTTCCCGGCCCTAGATTTCCAATAAGCTGCTTTCTGTCCCTGTGGATTTTCCTATTCTGGACATTATGTTTAAATGCCTTTGTGATCGACTTCTGTCACTTAGCATGCTGTGTTCARGGTTCATCTAGGTACATGTATCAAGCACCTCATTCTTTTTTAGCACCAAATAATATTCTAGTGTATRGATATGGAACATTTTATTTGTCCATTTATCAGCTGGTRGACATTTGGATTGTTTCTACTTTGRAAGGATCATGGATAATCTGCCATGAATATTCACATAGGAGTTCTTGTGGAGCTGTATTTTCGTTCTCTTGGGGATAGACCTAGATGTGCTGTGTGGGGGTCCAAAAGGGATGGCCAGACTGCCATGTTTTACATCCTCAGCAGCAGTGTACAGAGGACGCTCTATGAGCTTGACAGGGAAAGTCTCCTCCAGGCTGGTGGCAGGTCACTGCTGACCCCTGAACTTGTTGCCAGGCCAAAGCAGCAGGCTCAGTGACAGACATTGGTTTGATATGACTGGTTCACTTTCGGCGTGTTAAAAGCCCACAGGAGAGGAAAATGTTCACGGAGCAGGTTTTTGTTGTCAGAATCACTTGGATCCTGCCTGGTGCTGCAAGGCTGTCCAGCCAGAGGGAGCTGCATCTGGGGCCAGCTAAGTGCAGCGTCACGTCTCCACCAGCCAGACAGCCTCATGCTGTRACYGTTTCCCTCCACAGGTATAATTTCTGCAGCAGCGACACTGTGGGAGAAGACGTCTTACAATCTCTTTACCCTTGCTAAAAGCACAATATGGCTCGGGTCCCTTTGTGATAATAAATTCTCTAATGCACATCGTCTCTGGCTGAGTATTGGTTTGACATTCTCCACGTTCTGGGGTCACAGTTTGGAMACAATTACTAGGACTGGAACCAAGCTCACCATAGGCAACAAGGGTCTGGAACTTCCTACCCACCCACCTTGTTATCTGTCTTCCAGGACACGGGTGCAGCCTGTGCTAATGCATTTTATTCCCTTAAACTGTGAAATGTTCCTGTTTGGAAAGGACATTGTTGTTCCCAAGTTACCCATCTAGTTTTTAACAACCTGGGGGTGAGGTATAGACTCTGTGGCCTGTGTAACTCCAAACTGTAATGATTCAGGTTGAACTCAACCTGTGACATGAAGGAAGAAGGCCTTAAAAAAAGTTAATATCCACACATCATTCACGATGCAGAAGAGTATTCTCATGAAAGATATCTTTGACCACCCTTCCCTTCAAGTATCTCAGTTCTTCCCAGAGACAACTTAAAGGGTTTTTTTTCCAGAAATATTCTCCATCTACATCACACATCTCTGTCACCACCCACCCTTTTTGTCCAAGCACAAGTGGCAGCATACTACSATACATGCTGTCACACTGCTTGAGTGTTCCACTAACAATAAACTGGGCATCCTCCTCCTAGTACAGAAACAGCCTCCTTTATTTCCAGAGCTTTGTAGATTCCACTGAGAGACACACACAGGGTACACAGTGGAACCCACTGATGGACACCTAAGTGTTTTCCAAATTTCCTTATTACAAATATTCATGCAGTTAATAACTTTTTATGATATTTTTCTACTTTATCCTAATATTTAGGATATACATATTTTGATCAATATTGCCAAAATGGGCTGAGGCTGTGGCTCAATTGTAGAGTGCTCACCTAGCACATGCAGAGACCCTGGGTTCAATCCTCAGCACCACATAAAAATAAATAAATAAAGGTACTGTGCCCAACTACAATATATTAAAAAAATTTWGCCAAAATGCCCTCTATGACAGTTTTATCAATTGACACTCCAACAACGTGGGAGGTTGAACTATGTGAAGTTGCCAACTTTGCGGCGGGGGAGGGGGAGGGAAATATATATATATATATATATATATATATATATATATATATATAAAATCAAGCATTGACAATGCCATGTGATTCATTCTAACCTGGGAGTGCTTCATGCCCTCAATAATGTGGAATGTTGTCAAATCTTTAGCCAACTTGATGGGTAAAGTGCTTTGCCTTAAATTGCAATTTTTATTTATTGTGAATAAGGGTAAACATCTTTTTAGTGTTTTATGACTCTTAATACTTATTTCTCTGTGAATTGGCCAAATTCTTTGCCAATCTTCGGCATATTTTTTTAACATTATTTTTACTTTAAAGATCCCCTTTCATATTAAGAAAATTGGAAWACTCTGGCATATGCAGATATTTCCCCCAATGTATCCCTCAGCCTGGGAGGAAATGGGAAGACAATGGAAGGGTCTGAGACTGGTACTTTCAAGGTCGATCCCTGGCTGGCCTGAGCCCTTAGCTGGTATTTGGAAGGTTCTACAGGTACCTRTAACCCCAGTGGCTGTCCACAGGGATCTGACTACCTGGTCAGGTCAAGCAAGACAGCCAGATCCAGTGCCCAGCTTGCTTTCTTGAGCTATATGCCAGCCTCCAGCCTGTCTGGTCTTTCTCCAAGGCTGTGCCCAGTTCCTGGAGGCTTGTCACCTCCTCAGTGCAGAGCTGCTGGGTCCCAGGCAGAGTGCAGCCATCCCAGCCTGGCCTCCTGCCCATGCACTGCTTCCTTCCTGACTCCAGCAGAACTGCCCACTCCTTTGGGGACCCCAGATGGATAAATGAGCTGGTACCAGCTACAGAGTGTCATTCTCAGGCCTGTGGGCCTTTGGGCATAGTGTACGGAGGATTCCTGGTGGGCCCAGGTTGGAGTAGTCACTGTTMAATTCTTGGAATCCAGAAAAGGCCTCATTTAGCAGATTCCAAGAATGTCATCATAACAGCAATGGCTGGCACATGAAGAGAACCGTAGGTGACTAATCCCCTGAGATTCAGAGAATGAGGATAAAAGGAGTTTGCAGTCCCCTTACAGGGAGGCCACCAATCCAAATSGAAATGAAAGTGCTTCATGAAGCTCAGTATCTTGGGGTTTTCAGCTAATTCTTCTCTTTCCTTTTTCTTTTCTTGGTATTTTCCAACTTATTTCTTTTGAAGCCCTATATAGCATTTAAAATCTTATGCGTGAAAGAGGCCCTTGTCTGAGAACTGCTAAAAGTTCTAGATCTTAAAACAACCACAAAGTACAAGACAGARGCTCTCAGCCATGGCTATATATTAGAATCATTGTGGAGCTTTAAAAGAAAACCCCATGTGCAGGCTCCATCCTGGGCTAATCATTATGTTTGGGGTGCAGCACCAGCGTTTTTAAAGTTCCTGGGAGACGTAAAGCCAAGAGTGAGAACTACTGGTACATTTTCTTCTAAGGGTTTATAATGRCACTTTCTTTCCCTATTCCTGCAAAGTCCCAGGGTGTGCATGGGGCTTAAACACTCAGCTCTGCAGTMGGGCCCAGCTGGCCTTGGGTGGCAGCTGTGTCTCGTTCTACCTACACTACCTGGGCTGGCTAATTAACTCCTCTGACCTCAACACTTACTCAAGAGTAACAGTAGCCCTGCACACAGGGAGACTGTTAGGATTCAATAGATAAGCCATGCAAAGCCTTACCACAGCACCCGGCACATAAAGAGTGACTAATCAATGAAGCAGGGAGGGCTGGGCGGCATACGTTGTTATTAACAAAGACACCAAAGACAAAATTATAGGATAAGTGAGGACTCAGAGAAGTATTTGAGGTGAATACAATGAAAGACAAGCACTCAGAATACATAAAGAAAAGAGTGACCCAGTAGAAAAATGGACAAAGGGCAAGAGCAGGTAATCTACGCAGATGATGTCTTAGTCCTTTCATGTTACTATAAGAAAATACCTAATGCTGGGTAATGTCCAAAAAAAAAAAAAAAATGGAGATTTACATGGCTCACCATTATGGTGGCCAGAAAGTACAAATGGTATTGTGCTGACATCTGGCAATGGCCCCTTGGCTGTGTCACAACATGACAGGTAAGGGAATACATGAAGAAGCACAGGTGTGAGAGCAAAAGAGAGAGAGAGAGAGAACCAGAAAGCCAAACTCACTTTATAACAACTCATTCTCATGAACACTGATCTGGTCCCAGGACACCTGACCCACTCCCAGGAGATGACATTAATCTCTTCTAAGGGTGGTGCCCCAGAGCCTGCTCACCTTCCAGTAGGCCTCACCTCTTTTAAATATTKTTTTAGTGTTGATGGACCTTTATTTTATTCATTTATTTATATGTGGTGCTGAGAATTGAACCCAGTGCCTCACACATGTGAGACAAGCGCTCTACACTGAGCCCCAACCCCAGCCCCGAGGCTCCACCTCTTAGAGACCCATCACCTCTCAGTACCAACACAGCGGGGGCCAGGCTTGTAGCATGAGAACCTTGGGGCACAAACCACACCCAAATCATAGCAGGAGAAAGCTAAATTACAAATGTTTGAGACTCAGCCTCACCAGAGGAATACAAACGAAATCCAAGAAAATAACATTCACAGACATGGGACCATCCAAAATATAACTGTAGCAGAGAAAAAGAACAAAGTGGGATCCATTCACGCTAACATGGGCAGGGCCCCAAAAGTCCTCTGAGGAGGAAGTGGAGTGTCAGGAAGGTACCCCAGGACACAGAAATGATGATGCTGTGTGTTTTCATTCACCAAAAATCTACGACTCACCACACGGGTGGTTCAAATAGCAAAATGTGGTCCAGAAGTTCATTGGGACACCTTCTAGGTGACCACCATGTCGTATTTCTTTTTCTTTACAAAAGAATTTGAAGTCAATACGATGAAAGATCCATCYTTTCTAATTCTAGGTGGTTAGATTGTCAATATTGTAGTTTTATTTTTTTATGTAAATTTAAGAGAAAAGGGAAGAAGAGAGAAATTGATTGATTCCAGGGAAACTGGGAGGGCTGCCAGGAGCCCACAGCACAAGGAGTACAGTACGGGGGAGTTCAGGACGTGTGGCAGGAGGAAGGTGATGGGACGGGGACAGCTTGGCTGGCTGCCCCAGGGCGGTGCTGATTCAAGTACTGATTCATCTGCCTCCATTCCAAGACCCACGGCAGGCACCTCTCTCCTCTCTCAAAGACACGTGTCTGTCACAGCAATCCTCCTCTTCACTTCCCTACAGTCTTGYCGCTTGTCCCTGGTGTCACACGGTCATCCCTGAGCCAAGTGCCGCTCCTGATGAGGACCTGGACAGCACCCCACTGGACCAGCCGAGACCRCAGTTGTGTAGACAGCTTTATTTCATAGCACTCACCTTCCCAGGCCCAAGCTACATAATTCCATAAGATTTTCCTGAGTCAAGACGTGAACAAGAACAAAGGTGAGATAAAAAGTCACCAATCCCGTCTTTTCRGCTTCCGTCCGGGAGGGAAAGTGAATACTTTACAAAGCCATTTCATAAAATGTGATGTTAAAATGAATAACAAATTACTTTCTCTTTTACTAGCTTTTAATGCTAATCGTGCCATTTTCCCCCTGACCTTCAGAAATATGAGATGTTTTAAATGACAACATAAAAAGAGTTCTTGTTTGAAAACCCAAGCTACTTTAGACTGCATATTATTACTTATAAGTATAGTGTGGGCTGGTATCACTCATTTTAGCATTCCATTTATATCTAACTGGTATATATTTCAGCTGACATTTATTGTTCTCCTGCATACGTGTCAAATTCCTTAATGATAACTCTGACAAAGGCATGGTGCTCGGGATATATAAATTACATTCGCTACCATATAATCAGTGTTATCTATTAGAATGCTATTTGTGACAAATCATGTTCAAAATAAAAATTGTATTGATTTTTCTGTTATT